GTTGTATCTTTTTACTCGTTTCTTTTTTTTCTTTTTTCTTTTTTTTTTATTTTTGGTCCAACATAATATCGAGCGCAGACACGTTCGCAGAAATGTGTCACAGCAATTTTTTCCGCAATTCCTTTGCGGGATGAAAGATGTTCCACGACACAAGGGGATAATAGACAATAAACGAGTACAGACGTGTCTGTCGATACGACGTCGTTCGTGCTTTTACCGACGTTCATTGACTGTCAGAATAATTGTATAGTTACCTGTTCGAAACGTGATGGCTTTGCAGATCATTTTTACACGATTACGTTCTTTCGTTATTTCGTTTATTCCGAGTTAGAATTCGCCAACAGCGTTTGTCAATTCTTTTCGAAATGTAGACAAAAGTGAGTGGATGGAAGAAGAAAGTGCTAGAAATTTTTTTGAACGAGTGAAGTTGATGTTAGTATAATGACTATACGTACTTGATCTAGGATGCTGGGGTGTTTGGAAGAAAATTGTTCGAACCGAATGACTTCAATTGAATTATCGTATTGAATGGAAGGATAAAAGGAAATTGGATGATTCTTTAACTTATCAGACAACAACACGTTCTAATCACACAGTTTCTCCAAGTAACGTTTATAAATTAGGCAATTAGAAATCTAAATCGAAAATTACTTCATCTGAAATTTCGCGGCACCAATCTTTTTCCCCACAAGGAGAACGATAAATGTTCAAACGACTAAAAATTAAGATTTACACGATACCCGAAGAATATTCCAAAGTGGAAGAGACCCGACGGATTAGACCGCTAATTCCCCTTAATTTCCATTCAACATTCTCCCCCGGATTAACTCTGATAAGCACGAGGATCCTGTACGTTTACTTTTGAACAGAGTCCGAACGCCACGTTCATATTGCGTCGATGGGAACGTCGAGTTCTGTTCGCCGAGCTACCACGTTCCACGACTAAATTGCAATTACTGCTAATTAATTGAGCAATGGGTTGAGCAGTCGCCGAGGGACAAAGCGCAGCGGAACCGAGTCAACGGAGAAATTGAAGACGATCCTCGATTGAATATTCCAAACTCGTCGACGTTCTGTTGACGACTGTCCGCGAGACAACTTTCGCCCTGCCAATACGAAGTTCGCCAGTCTCCATTTATTTCCGCGATATTTCTCGCATTGCGACGTACCATCTGTCCGTGTCGATCACGATCGTACACTTTCCTTTCCCCTGAAGAAGAAATTTCCGTGGAGCCCGGATTAACAGACTTTGATACTCATCGCACGTATAGCATACGCTAGGAGTTCAATCGCGACTTTACACTGAGAACTGAAAGAAATCTTCGCATTTCTCAGAAATGATCAAGACACTAGATTATTTATTTATTTTTTTATTGAATTGTCGGTGTACGTATTAAGAATTTAACTGTAGTAACTTTAAGCTTCGTTTCGGTCAATAAAACATAATCCATACGTCACATTTCTTGCATTCGTAACGCGTCTCCCTTCTGTGAGATTTCTTTACCCGATTAATTTATCACCACACCTTTTCATTTTAAGGGCATTAATAATCACGTTAATAAAATAATCAACGTTAAGTTTAATATACGATTAATGGAAGACGTAATTGTCGATTTAGAATTCACTTACGCCTGATCTAAGTGAGCCGATAGTGAGCCTTCAGTGTTGACTGAAGCAATGTGAAGTGAATGCTTTTCGTTTCATCGGACAGCGAAGCAAGTCAAGTGCCTAAGTGGCGTCACCTCGGAAGCAAATTATAAAAGCGCCTTTAGGCCAATTAACCAGCGGCCAAGCGGTTACTGTCGTGCTATCGATGACAACAGCCGAGCGTCCGTGATTTGACGAAATATTATATCGTAATAAATATTCTCTGTAACGTTAACCATGTGTATTTCACGAGGCTGAAGATCTGAGGAGTCTGCGAAGCCTAGTCATCACGCAATCAGGTAAATTATAATCAACCGAAATTCAGCAAAGGGGCCCTTTCGCGGCCCTTAACGAACCTTAAACTTGTAGCACGGTCTTTCCCCCGCATAATTATTTCACATCTGTCGGCAGCTTGTTTCTGAAGACACGTGAAATTAGGTCGCGCCGACTAACTAGGGCTAATTGATAAACAGCGTCTGGCCTGGCATACTTGCAAATGAAATCGGTGAATGAGGGAACGCGGTGGCTGACAAGCAGCGCGCTAATTAAACCCTCGCTGCGTATAGAAATTCGATTCGTCGATACCGCGGGCCGTCGGGTTTTTGTACGTGCCACGGTAAAATACGTGTGAAATGCTGGATCACGTGTGGATTCTCGGTCTCACGAGCGATTCAACTGCGTTCGAACGTTCAAGAGGGAAAACTAGTCCGCCTCGATCTTCGAATAATTAAGTTCGAATAATTAAGAATCTCTTCAGAGACAAGGGCCTGAGAGATTCTTTCCCGTTTGAATGTCGTCGCTTTGCAATTCCCTTTAGCGACAATAACACGTAAATAATCCAATTGAGAGACCTGTTTTATTTTATACAATCACTCTTTTTTTTCATTTTTTCCTTTCTTTCTTCTCTTTTTTTTTTTTACAAAGAATGAAATCTTTGACAATAAATTTTCAAATGATGACTTTTCTGCTTTCGATTCAATAAGTACTCCGAACCTTATGGGCCTTACTTATTGCCTTACGCGTGATGAATAATTAAAAAATAATTAGCTGACTGCGATCGCTATCTACTTTCGAATTTCAAATCGTTTTTTGTGACGAGACGCGCGCGTGTTACACGTGTTCATGTACCGAGAGCACGGATACGTGCCCCGAATTGAAACGAAGCATAAACTTTGCCTCCCCTCTCCCAAAAACGACATACGTCCGATCGCAAAACGTATGGCAGCGTTAATTGAAATTTAAATTCGTCTAGGCGCATTTGCAGCGTTCAACGGAGACAAATGCAAATGAAATATGCATGCTTTTTATATCCGCTGTAAATTAACAAGTTCGAGGTGGCGATCAATTATGGAAATGAATCATCTGCGGCCAAACGAAAATCTGTAACCCGTAATCGCTGAATAATCTCGCTCGTTCGCGAGGGGAGACAAAGATCAGAAATGATCCGCAGAAGTTTCGAATTATCTCTGAATCGTATCATCTTTCATCTCCTGAGCATCGTCGTCCAATAATTGGAGTGGAAATATAAATTACGTTATCGAATTATCGAAAATGCTCTTCGAAGGGTACATATGTATATGTATATATACATATTTGTATCTTCTCCCCGTCGGAAAATGTAGTATTGAATTTCCTGTTTAATTTCGATGTACCTTGTATGATCGCCGCGCCGTGAAATATTCGCCGCTTTTACCAATAAAATATGAACACACGTTCCGTGTGTATGTAAAATATTTCCACCGCCGGCGGAATAATTGAATTCGACGCGAGATAACTCGGACGATAATGTAAAACAATCTCCGCAACATCGACGTTAACAGCTACGCGTCGAAGCTTCGTTAATCCGTGGAAACAAACAGAACGATAAACGCACGACGTGGGCAAGTGTTTTTAAGATAGGGCAGGTTTCTCGTGCAATGGCACTCAACAGCAACGTGTATCCTGCCCATGGAACAGAAGCGAAATAGACGCGACAAGCAGACAAAGTCCTTCAAAAACGATGTGAAAAGAAGACCCGGGGAGCGTAGCTGGCGCGTTTCAACGATAATCCAGGTCGCCGTGACGCGGGCCGACTATCTGTCGTTAAGAATGCAATAACGGGACGGCTTATCCCGTCATAACAATGTCCCGTCGACGCGGTGGCTCGGTGCGACTGGAATTGAATCGACCGACGAGGAAACGGCACCGAGATCTCGCCTCGTTCGTTTTACGGCTATGCAAATTTTTACGCGCGCGTCAAAAACACATCCTAGATAAAGAACCATGTCGCGTCTTACAACGGGCGTTTCGATACGTTCGAAGGGGGGGGGGAGGAAGAAAGAAGAAAACTCGAAGAGTGAAAGAGCACCGAAGCGAAAATTTTCGTCTCGGACAGCGAAAAGATTCGAAGTACTCTCTTCCTTGAATCGCGAGCGATCCAGCTTATCAGCTTACCAGAAGTGTAAGTCACTGTTCATAAAGTTCATTTATTCGATTATTTAATTACATGTGTGTGTGCGTAGGATAAGTTTGCTTTTAAATCCAAACGTTCTCTCTCTAATTCGGGAAGAATTCGAGGAAGTGTCAGAGCTCAATTAACTGTTAGTAGGGTCGTTCGTTCGGCCGAAAGGTGCAGTTAAGCAGGCAGAAAACGCGACAAGCTTTATGGAACGCGATCAATTCTAATGGCTCCATTCGTCTCGCATTACCACTGTAATGCTAGCGTATTTACGAGGATGCAATAGCGCTGTTGGCCGGGCTTAAAGAGATACGGAAGCGATCGAACCATAATAAAAGGGAAGATTGAAGCCTGAAAACTTGGTTTGCTAGCAACTTGGAACCGTTTCTCAACTTTTCAGCTATCTTAATTCACGCCGATCCCCTCTGTTCTATTAATAAACCTTGCCTCAACGCTAAAACTCATGCCACGTTCTATAGAATTTAGTATTTCAGCGACTTTCGACCTTTCCCTTTCACGTTCCTTTTCAATTTGATTTGTAGTCTAGTCGCCAGTACTTGGAAAATTTGATCGTGACCGAGGAACAGAAGTTCACGGGACAAGTTAAATAGCAAACAGCAATCGCACAGATATTGAATTTTCAGTCTCTCTCAAGAAAGAAAAAAGAAAGAAAAAAGTCGTCGACACGAAAAAAAAAAAAAAACGAATGATTTAAACGGAAAATACACCGAGTGGAAAAACGTCCAGATAATGATAAAGATCTAGCCGATTACGTATTATCCAATGGAGTTTGTCAAGTTGGCCCGATTCCGGTGAACGCTGCACCGAGCAGCGATAGTTTCGATGATAAATCACGAATGCCGAACCGATTCCATAAATATCCAAGACATTAGGACGTAAGCCAAGTAATAATTTCATTTATGTTCCAGGACTCTCGTTAGGCGGTGGCCTGATAGTACTAGCATCTGCTTTGTCGGATGCATCGCTGGAATTGCCGGGGAAGTACAGTCTGCCCTCTACGTCGAGTATGCAATCCGATGACAACGGTTTGCCACAGTATCAATATGGCTGGTGTCTTCAATTGTCGGGGCTGGCATTAATCCTCGCGGAAGTGGCCGCTGTTTTGACTATGTCTGGCTACATGGCTCGTTTCTCCACGGTGGAAGAAATGGTACCATTTCTTACAGATGTCGTAAAATATACAATGGAGCTTTATCACTGGGAAAATTGCTTGAATAGAAAAAGATACTTGTCTGAATAATACAAATAAATGGTTCCTCGTATGGAGATTGTTCCATTTTAGATTCTAATATCATGATATTGCTTTAAATTTTCAAGGTGAGAGTCATGGTGCCCGGTGCTGAGAGAAAATTGAGAGAACAGAGAGGATTGAGTTCAGAGTACCTAGTTAGAGCTCATCAAAAGTCACCTGGACCTCCACAGGCTCGAGGATTCGGGCAGCCCTCGAAAAGTAATTCTTCTTTCTCCATTACATACTATATACAGCTTAAAATAAACGATTAACTGTAAATTTATCGCATTTTCAGCATCCCAACGAGCTCCCGAGGAAGGAACGTCTCTGTTATGCAAGACTGCCCCGGATATCTGTGCCTCGAACCCGCAAGCTATCAGCTACGTCGATAAAGCAGATCTGTCCCACGTTTTACCAGCATATCCGGACGCGAAAAACAACGATCCAAGATATACATTCGGCGACAAGTCAGAAGCCAGCGTTATCGACTCACGGTTAAGCGGCTTCGCTGATAAAGAAGGTTTAATCGATTCTAGAATTCTGTCTGACTCGCGGCAGAACATGATAGCTTTCACGGAAAATAAAGAACACTCTGTTGGCCAAGAGCCGCGATATAACGAATTCTCTCCTAAAACAACTGAACAAAACGTGGTGGACTCGAGGCTGAGTGGCTTTACCGATAAGGAAGGTCTCCTTGATTCCAGACTCAGTGGGTACGGTGAGAAGAACGAATCGTTGTTGGACACTCCGTTCGGTTATGACACGCGGTACAACAGCTTGGCAGGACAGACGGTGCCCATCACTCTGAAGAATCAGAACACGTCTGTTTCGGCTATTCAATCTCAATACATTTATCAGAATTTTGGCACGATACATTCTGGGATTCTGAGGGTATCCGAGCCAGGGACTAGTTCGAGTTCGAACTCGAGTCAGAGAAGTATGACGCTACAGAATCCGAAGAGGAAGTCGCAGATCGCTCAAAACACATTTAGCACGATGGAGTGTGAGAAGAGGAAACGAGGACCTGGCTTGGCTGGTAAGACAGGTTTCTACACCGGCAGCGCCGTATGACCACCACCACCTCCTCCGACGCCCAGGTAACTGCAAGAGGAGGAAACGCCGCTTTAATCCTCTATAATTGAAAATGAAGAGGAATCAGTGGCGTGGAACCTGTTTCGTCGGAGGAACGTACTTCGTTTTGACAATTCTCTTGAAAGAAATTTGCATTACCGAGAGAGATACTCTGTTGTATCTATAATTAACGACATAGATATCGACAGTTATAGTTATCGTATGAGTGGATTGTATCCACAGCTGGTCATATAGTTCCCTGTGATTTCGTAGTCGAAAGAAAAACTAGAAACTGAGGATTCGTTTGTGAATAAGGTGCGGATTAAATGGAAAATTTAATTCAGACTTCTAAAAAAAAGAAAAAAGACTTGTATATAAACTATCGATAATAAGGTTGAAATCGAAATCTCTCTCTCTACGAGATAGTAACTCGAAACGAATTTTTCTAACGTTTCGTAACTACACGACGTGTCACATAGTCATTATAACAAGCGACATGTTAATCGATAAAATAAGGAGAAAACAAGATTCGTAGTAGCGTGCATAAACTAGGCGTAGCGTTAAGTGGCATAGGCAACTTATCTTTAAAGGGATTAATGTATAGGGTCGATTTTACCGGATGAATTTATACCTATTACCCGTGAGGCCGTGATCTCTTTGCCACTGTAAGATCTAGTCGATCGTTGTTTGCGTCTCGAGCGTCGACGCAGGAACCGTGACAGAAGTGCAGTCGGTTACCAGTCGATTGGTCCGCTTAATTGTTTCACTGTTGTCGAGATTAAGAGATAATTTCAACGCGTTCATCATCGCCAGTTTTCTCGAGACACTATACACAAACTTCTCTTCGGTTATCGTTTTCTAAATGAAGCAACCGATATGACTCGTCCATGGTTCGCATGGAAAGTGGATCAAGAGACGTGGAAACCTGCAACTCGCCGTTAAATTTATCCTCAACTAATCACGTAATCGTGTTCTCAGGCTGCATAACCAATCGAACGGAGTTGCAAGTCGAAGAGGAATATTAATGTAGTCGATATGCTGTAACATTTAACTCGGTGGTCGTGGTATAGTCACGAATACTCAATCGGGCGTAAACTCGTCTGACCATTTTCGGGAAAGAGGGAATGCCGCGAATTACCAACGATAGTTTGAATAAACGGCCGTCGGACGAAACGAAGCGAAAAAGATTTTACCATAGGAACGGATCATCAAACGACACGATGCACAATAAGTATTATTACACGAGGAAGAAGAAATGAAGATGGATTAGAGTACAAAAACCATTTTCTTACTATTATCGAACAACGTACCGTCATTCGCTTAGCCGTCTACGATTTAAATCATCGTTTCCCTTGAACTGTCACATTCATCTATGGCAAAGTCTTTCATTCCGTTCGCCAATATATTGGACATATCAAGAACACGAAGAAATGTTTTTAAAACTCTACCCGAGACGCTAAAATCGTGACTTGAATTCCCTTCCTCGATTTTCTCGCGGGGGTGCTCCTGCGCAAGGGTTGAGAATATTTTGAACATCTCAGAGAACCCATCTCAAAGAAATTTCATTCTCGGACCGGATCGTTGTTGTGTATGTAACTTTGCAACTTGCGTATATTCACGTATACAGATGGTAGATAAATGTAATAAAACGTTTCCTCTTCGTTTTTTTTTTTCTTTTTTTCTAAACGCGTTGTTTCCTTACCCGACCGATTCGAATAAAACTGTACGAAATCATTGTATGTTGTCGTTTCATTCACGATTATCCGTAATAAAAGCTGTTCCTGTATTTCTGAATTATTCAGCCACTTCACTTTGAGATACATTTTACTAGCGACAGCTATGAAACTCAATCTGTATGTGTATTTGTAATGCATATGTACATGTATATTTAATATTGTATTTTCTGCTAATCGTAAATTTCTCTAAACTGTCAGATTTCTATATCGTCACTTTTGTATCGTTTTAACATTACAAGCTGCAATACTTACCGGTTTCTTACACGCGTTCAATATTATGGATCACCATTTTGTTATCGATGGTGGGAATGTTACGGTAACTGAATCTCTTCTTTAGATGATAAGAAAACCGTGTGACTCGAAGCGCAAATTTGTACGAAAAAATGTATCAGCTGAAACTATTAAATTTTCCCAATTACGTTCATCAGCATCTCATACCCGATATTGTCTACGAAAAGAAATTGCATTCCTGAACATGAGATCGAATCTCATAATTTGTCCTCTGCTTTTCAGATTACCGTCCCAAATAAATAAATGAGTTAGAAGATTAGAATGCCGGCGAATGCCGACGAAATCGACGTGTACCGAAACGGGAAAGAAAGCAAAGTGATAACTGGTCAACGATAAAGCAGACATTCGAAAATTTACCACTGGACCCGTGGCGGTGGAAGCGCATGGAAACGAAGCCTTTTCAGATGTCACTGTTGGCAAGAAGTGGCCTGGATGGAGGGATCGTCGGCGAGCTTTTCGCCAGATGGCGGACGCCGTGCTTATGTCGCGAGACTTTCGCTCCTAATGTTTAATTAACGCCGCATAATTGCCCGGCCAATTAGCCAACGCCGTTTAATATTAATCTGCAATTTGAATTCATTTCGATGCGTTTAAAATTTATTGAATACATAATTAATGCCGCGTGGCGCGAATGCAGATACGATGCACGAGCCGCCCCCGGCACTTTGCACGCTCTCCTCCGATGATTTATTCCGACAGTCCTCCGAAAGTTCGCCACGAAAAAAACCCCATGAAAATAGTTAATCGTTCCCGAAAGCGTTGCTCGCAGAAGGCGGCCGGTGTCCAAACAATTCTGTTGGCCGAGTATTCCGTGCGTTCAGACACTCAAACGTACGTGTGTGTTTCAGTGACGGTGGAAAATAAAATGTACAGATGGAAGAAAATTTGGGAACTAATTTTACCAAGTCGAATATGTATTAATTTATATATCAATCCGGGATTCGGACATGTTGAATAATCTACGGATTCGGTTTATTTCTCTTGTGTGAATCATATAAATATGTACGATTTACAAAGCCGACCGAGTTTCTTTCGAGAATGGGGGAGAAATGGGCGGCAATTGACTAATTTGTGACTGCTGGATGAAATTGGAAGCCTGCTTGATCGATGATCAAATCGTCTTTTTAATCGTCCCTTTCTCGTACTAGTTGACGCGAGTGTATGCGTTCATGTAATTGTAAGTTCCCGGACAGTCGAGTTTCCGAGATTTGTCTTCTCACTTCATCTCAATGACGCATTCCACTTTTATTTTTCGAATGAATCCAGAACCTCTTCATCTTACATCCGTTCTCACTCGTCACCTTCTTCATCCTTCCAATCTCACAGAAATTTAGCTTCGAATTTCCGGATCAATGAGATTCATCGATCATTGAACGATCCAAAGACCCTCCACCCTCCTCGCGCGCATTCACAAGATAATCTTGCTAGTTCAAAGCAAAATCGCTCTATCAATTCTATTAAAAAAAAAAAAAAAAGAAAGAAAGAAAGAAAGAAAAAGCGATCGAGTCCACGAACGTCGTTCGCAACAACGAGTCCTCCAATTTCCCCGAGCTTTTCCTTTCTAACGAAACCGCGTGAATCGATACTCTCCCCTCCCCGCATGTACGAGTGCCGTGGAACGCGAGGAGGGTGGCGGTGCGCGCGGGTAGATTGTCTCTGTCATTTACCTGCACCTTCCAACCATCGTCCCTTGCCCCTTTCGCCTGCCACGTCCGAATATTCCAGGCAACCCCCTTCCTGCAACAAACCTGCCACCCTCCTCGACACGCTCGACCCACCCTCGCGCCGATGCTGCGTGTAGCCGTCTCGCTCTAATCCAATTAAAAACGGCGGACGATCGCACGAAACAGCGGCTCATCGACCGCGGGAATTTTAATTGATGTTACAGGTACCGAGAGAGGGTGGCGCTGACTGGAGGATCGGAAGATATAGAAAGGGCTGGACTCGTGCTGGAATCGTGGTGGCTGATTTCCCCCCGTGTAAAACGTGGATCGTGAAACGCGGGGTGGAGGGGAGGGGGGAGGGGTGGAATACGGTCGAGGCGGGATGACGGTCTGTCAGCGGGCCGCGTTCCAGGCCAACTTTCGCCAACACGAATCCCTCCTCTTCAGCATGTCGCGCGGAATCGTGTTAACCATCAGCAGCGAGCAGTCTGTTTACGCGCGGGGGCGGACGAAGCGAGTTTACTGATTAACCGAGTCGTACTCTCTCGAGTCGATGGAAATTCACGGTTTCCTCAGGCGAAGACGCGAGTAGTAGACACGGTCGAAAAGATTCTGGAGATGGCACAGAGTTGTTGTTTTCTTTTCTTTTGTGATCGTGAGTTTCAAAGCTTTTTAGCTTCGTATATTTTTAATCAGCTGGTCGCGTCGCTACGATGGATCTGAGACGATGGACAGATTTGAAAGTTCTAAAATTTCGCACAGATTTAGAGATGGCTTGATTCCAAATTGATCGACTGATTAATTAACCGAATCGTTCGCCGATATAAATTTAATTACTCTTACAAAGTAGGTAACAAGCTCAATTATTATTAATAACAGGGCAATTTGAGTTTCAATAAAGAAGGAAACTATTAGCTGGCACCAATCCCGGCAGAAATCGATCTGCTCTATTAATTTCTAATTTATAACGATCTGGTTCTCGATCTAGATACGTATCACTGCGCGCCGCTTAGAACGATCTTTCTCTCCCTTCTAATGTGTCTAATACGCACGAAAACCTGGTGGAAATAACCGAGTGCGGTATCGACTGTATCAAACAAGGCTACCGTTTCTATCGCCTGTAATTCGACTTCGTAATTTCTCATTCCTCTTTTCCAACGACGTTCTCTCTCCCTAAGAGCAAGAGTATATTAAGCTGTGTTAATGAAGGAACGTTAACGCGACCAGCCAAATTATTTTCCACTAATTTTTCCCGACGTTATCTCCACGACGTCCTGGCGTGCAGCGTCTCTTATCGTCCGTGTTCCTGGTTCTTGCTATCGCAAGCGGCAAGAAATCCCGTAGGAAGGAAGCGAGAGAGCAAGGATACCTTAATCCTCGCGGTCATCTATCATCGCCGGACCCGTGTACTGGTTAGCCGATTCTATCTTCCAGCTTTTTTTCGCGCCAGCTCCAGTCACCCAAGCCTTTTGTTGGCTTGTTTAATAACTCGTGATGAATGTACCTCGGGCTGCCTCGGTTCGCAGTTAGTCCTGGCGCGCGAGCCACAAGGATCCCCGGGGTCCCGAGATATCCCCGGTTTCTTCTTCTCTCCGCGCATCCCGAGACCCGTCAGAAATTAAAACGATAAATCCTTGACGCGAGTCTCGCGCTCGCGCCGCGAAAAAAAATCTACCAACGCGCGCTTCCCGATTCTTTTTTTCTTTTTCTTTTTCTTTTTTACCATTCAACCCTCTTTCGTAGTGGTTGCAACGATCGAAGGAGTTAATCTCGGATTAATTTTCCACTGCGTGGCATTTCAAATTGATTTTAAAACTTGAACGATTCGGCTGATTCGCGATTTTGAAGCGCGAACATTGAGTTCTTTCTTTTTAAAAAAAAAAAAAAAAAAAAAAAAAAAAAACAGTTTTAAAACGTTTTTACGTCATTGCAGTAAGGATACTCTTGTTGTTGAAAATTTGAACGTCTTCAGAATCAAACTTTTTTTCATGAATCAAGATCTCGAGGTTCTCTCTTTATATACTGTACGGTTTTTTTCTTCTTTTGCCAGTTTATCGAATCTCGAAATATCAGAGTTGAGCGACAGAAATTCGAGAAATTTTGACATTTAATTTCAAAGTCCGAAGTACAATAAACTGATGAAAAAAATTGAACAGTTTTAAGAGAACATTGTAAGAAAGAGACTTCATGGTCTTCGAGACCATTGCAGATTTTGTTGCGACAAAAAGTTTTTTAATATTTTCAGAGGCATTTGGATTCTTGCAATTTTCAAGAGCAAAAGTATTCTCGCTTTTCCACCTGCTGATTCAAAAACATCTTTAAAAAAAACTATCGTAATCGGCTGTCAAAGTGAAGGAAATTAGGCCAACTAGATTGTTTTTTTTTTTTTTTTTATAAAGTTACAACAGTTTGAAATGTAGACAAACATTTTTCGTCAAATCTGCGAATACTTTGGAGGAACTTTGATAACTTTAATCGTTGTCTTGCAAAAGTTAGTTCTAAACTACATGCCTATTGTATTATTTGTCAAACTTTCGTAAGCGTAAAATTAAGCAATTTAATAGAAATGTAATCGTGACTATCGCGATCGCCTGTACGAGTCAGATTCACGGCCAAACGTCGCGCGAGCATAATTCCGAGGAAATCTTATTTTCTGTTACACCCCAGAGCCTCGCTTACAATTTAAATCCAACTCCACCGGCGCCGCAATCTCTTCATTTCGCAAGTTTCATTTGTCACTTCAAGCACCACTCTCTCTCTCTCTCTCTCTCTGTAAAAAAAAGCTCACATCCTTCGACCTGAAATTCTGGCTGGAACTGCAGTTCCACCCTTTTTGTCCCCGTTTTCAGATGAGACCGGAGAGAAAAGGGGTGAACTCTTATCTGGCGGAGGGACAACGCTGGTGGGGATGTATTAGCGGCCGGTATTAAATTATGGTCAGCCCAAGGCAGCAGTGATA